GGTTTCCAAAGCGGTAATCTTTATGAAAGCAGACTGCCTCATCTCTCTTCTGTGGAGTGGCTGGTGGATTGGAACCACTGACCTTTCAGTTAGCAGCTGAGCATTTAACCGTGGAACCACCAGGGCTCCATAAAAGGTGCAGCTGCAGTTATATTCCAGACAGTAACAATAAAGGAGATGAAAAGGAGTTTGGAGAGAATTACTGGGGATCCTCTGACCACATTCTGAGATCTGTTCCCTCTTCTCTGATGTGTGCCCTCTGGATTGTGGTGGCATTCTCCCTGGCCGTGTCAGGGCCTGGACGACTGCTGGCCACTGTGAAATGGGGCCTCACTGCTGTGCTTAATGATGTCTTCATGGACCTTTTTCTCCTAGTCAGTTCTGGGCTGAGGAATTTCCCCTTCTCCTTTCTTTAAGCTATTGATTTTTTGTGTGAGGATGGGCATGCTAATTATCATCTCTTCAGGTATTTTTTCAAGTTGCTGCCAATTCCTTTTTTTTTTTTTTTAACTTTCTATTATTTGGGTGCTTATGCACCTTAGGCTCGGAAAATCCTGCGGGAACTGAAGCATCAAAAGCGCTGTAAGGAAGCAGTTACAACCATTGCAGCTTATTGGCATGGTACCCAGGTAGGCCATGCTACCCAGAACCCTCTTGTTAGGGGCAAAAAATGTTTCACCGGCTTCAGCCACTGAGCACGCATTGCCTCTCGCGCTTTCCGACAGTGTGGGGTGGGGTGGCAGCACACGCTTTTGCGTTTGCTATTTTGGTGGTGACCAGTGTCTTTCCTTCTCCATTGGGAAACAGCAGCAACCATTCCTGCCTTAAACTTTTCTATAACTCCTTTTCACATGCATCACAGGCACGAAGGGAACTGAGACGGCTGAAGGAGGAGGCTAGGAATAAACATGCTATTGCAGTTATTTGGGCTTACTGGCTTGGATCTAAGGTACTTGATGCACACATCCCACCGCTCCATCCTGGAATTCTGCAATAATCAGTCCTGCTCTCTAGCATAGTAGGGGGTTAACGGCTATAATTAATAGTGGCTCACGCTGATGCATGTCCTAGCAGCCAGATTTAAGATTTAATAAACCTGGAAATGTTAGCGTCTGTAGTGTACATAGGAAGCGTAAGCATGTGTAGGCAAGAAGACTAATTGCTTACTAATAAGGCCCTAGTAGAGCTGTTTTTGTTTTTGTTTTTTTAAGCTCTGAAGTTACATGCATGTGTGGATTTTTTTTCTTTTTCCTGATGTATGTTGGTGGTTTTCTATAGATATTGTTGGGGGGTGGGGCCTGTTGGAAATGTTAAAGTTTGAGCTTAAATCAGTTTTCTGCAATCGGTTGACAGTGGAAATGCCATTAATGCACGTCTTAAAAAAAATTAATCCATGAATGAAATTTT